ATTTTATTTTGGTTGATGGAACATTTTGAAATCTTCAAAGTTTAATATGTCTTATCGAAGCTTCCATGCTAAACATGAAGGATTTTAGCTATTTAGTAATTTTGTTTCTTATTCATCGAAGGAGATATTGAGAATTCAAGAATTTATAAATTTTCTGTAAATAAAATAGTAATGATTTTATAAAGAAATATTCTATTTCAATTGAATCAATTAGTTTTCACTAGAGCTCGTTAGACATTAAATTAGCTTTCTTGAACAGACAGGGACAATACAAGGATTTTCCTATATATTCAAAATAAAATTGTTCTTGATTTTTCACATTTCTCAAGAACTTTATAAAACTTTCAATATTCCTCATAGTAAAACAGTATAAAAAATGAAAGAATGATATAAAGATAGGCTATATAGAATGGAAGTATTAAAAAATTATTAAATCGAAGTAATTTCGTAACTTCGGGGGCCCGAGTAAAAGGTGATTCGTCTCCACTGACTCATACAGTAGGGCCATGTGTTAACCATCTGGAGTTAGTGAGAGACAAGCTATTTATACCCAGTGACCCCTCACACAGCACGTGCTGCCACAGTTATAGGACCACCCGAAGACCTTATATCGCAGGAGAAAAGCAGTTTTCCTATTTGTGTAAATGACCATTTCATGATATATTGAACGACTTAGTACTTTACACGACCCAATAAAATTGGAAGCATCTAAGTCCAGAGCTAACGATTATGATGGAACGTGTATCAAAACTTCCAAAATATCTCGGCAAATGGAATTCTGAAATATGGGATCATTATTGTGAATGTATGATCCATTCAATTTATCAACTGTTTAACTTTTCGTCCCGCTTTAGATCAACGGAGCAATGAAATCTAAAGAAGATACTTTATTTTTTTTCTTAAATAGGAATCTAAATTAGCTTTTTCTTTTCATTATTGCCTTGATTATTGCTTTAAATATACAATTTTGACCAAAACATTTTCTAAAATTGTATAATGTTCTTAGTAATACTTAATGGTATTACCGGCTTTCATTTTATTGTTTTCCTAAACTTATTTAGAAGATTGGCTTTTCATTTAAAGAAATGTTATCTACCTCTGCCTTAGAAGAGTTCACTTTAACATTTTTATGTAAAATAACCAATATTAATCGAATTTAAGTTGATAAACTATAACCAAGCATTCTAATCAAGATTCTTTGCATTTAGATTCAAAACTTATAATAATAATAAACGAAATTCATAACGTTTAGATAATATAGAATTATGCTTTGAGAATATTCATTATTTGAGATATATATTCTCGTTTGATTAGTTACAATATATTTAATCGATACTTATTAGTAGGAGAGAGAAACTGTATCAATCGATAATTAATATATAAGTGCATCATCTACTATATAATTAACATTTAAAAGTATTAATTAATTTTTAAAAAGTTAGCATAAATACAGTATTTATTTTAGTTTTATAATAAACTATTCATTTTAATTCATGAAAAATACAGATATAATTTTTTAATTATGTTTAATTTTAATTAATTTCTTCTTTTTGTGATAATTAAAATTTAAACCGAATTTTGATAAATGACTAAATAATGAACTTGTCCTTTAAAGAAATATATTACAATAAGAATGGATGCACAATGAAAACGGAAGTAAGCTCTATATTCTGTGCGGAAAATCCGCTAACAGAATAATTCACAATTTACGTAAATATGATAAACAAGGAGACACTTTTGGAAATCTGGGTCAGGTCATTCGTCGCCTAGTCACTGCACGAATATTTGTCCTTCTATTCATTAGCACAGAGAACCGAGAATCGATATCGCTCATTAACGAAAGCATTCATAAATGCAGAAAACTGGATATAAATACATCAGAGTTGGCGTTTTACTTGTTTCAATCTCGAAGATGTAAAAAAAAAAGGCAATATTTAAAATTCGTTTGTTTTAGAAGAACAAACTCTTCGATGATTAGCTGAATATTTTATATTATTTTAAAAAAAAAAGGTAAAATTGATCAATTCTGTTCGTTAAGAAAAAAAAAACTTCGTTTTTTACTCCAAGATTTGTTTTTTTTTTTAAGATAAAAGTTGTATGAATTAAAGTTGTTTATCTGTGCGCGTTACCGATTGGTTGTCGAAGAAAAAGGTAGATGTTTTAATTGAAGATTGTATTGTATTTTGTGATAGTAAGAGCTTTCGAATGTGTGATCTAAACATAGTGTTTACAAAGACAGAACTCTCCAACACTCTGATGTAATTTAAGTGTCAAAGATGAGAGAGATAAATCAATCGTTTTAAGATGCCGTTGACCTCCTATCGAAAAGAGATTCTCTAAGTCAATACAAAACAACTTTTTCCCCTTTTTTTCAAAAAAAAAACAGAAATAAAAAAATATTACATTTTTCTCTATTGACAACTATAGATTTACAGTGATTTTACAGGATAAGAAAATTGACAATTTCAAGGATAAAAATATTAGTTTAAATAAAACGAATTTTTTTTTTAGAAAAAATAAACTTATTCCGTTACAGTTTAATATTAGTTTTAAAAAGTAAGTGTAAGTAGCAATCGATGGATACAAATGATCCCATTAGAGAATGTAATAAAGGTTCCCTACGAGGTAACTTCTGTGAAACAGTCTCTTTAACTCGGGTTTCAAAATTCTGTAAAATCAGCACTTTATAAAAGTTTATAACAAAATCAGTTCTTTAAGGGAGTCAATTTTTAGATTAAACTAGTGTTTGTGTAACATCAGTCTGCCGGGTTGTGAAAACATGACTGCCATACTGATCGACTGGATCTAAAAGAATCAAAAAAGCCATGTCTGCACTTCTAATGCGAGGTCGAGAGTATTATAAAGTATATAAAGGTACATTTGCTGCAATCTAGCTTCATCTGATGGATGAAGTTGGTCAGTGAATGTCACAGGGTCGTTGCTCGAAACAGTTTAAGTGGTTTTTCACTTCATCAATCACAGAAATTCAAGAAACAGCTTTCCCCTCACCTATGCAGCCAGATACAACAGACAAAGTCGAGCACGATCTGCAAGACGATCGATTTTGTCCCCAAAAAGATAGTCTACTTGTAATTCCTTCATCACTTGGGCTTTGATAATTTCTGATTTATCCAAGAGAGAAAAGTGAGTTGTAGCAGTATTTTTAATAACTATTTTTAAGCATTTAAGGCATTTTGTATGTAATAATCTTATAGCATTTAGTAAATTGGCTCAAATTCATTTTCTCATTTTAGAAATGAATAGTACGACAGAGATTGTTACCTATCCTAAGGATGCTTTTTATTAAAATACTTCATTTTTTATGATTAAAAAATAAAAGTTATTCAAACAAATTTTTAAAAAATGACTCGCTTATTTAAAAATTACAAGAATGTTTTTCATCAAAAATATTACAATAAAGATAATTAACACGCTCCAACTAGAACGATGCATCCAATCGAACTTTCACAGATTTTTTAGGCTAAATTTTTTATAAACTACACGAAAATAAAATTCGATTATTAACTTTTTTTATATGAAAGAAGTGAAAAAAGTTTAGTTACAAATTTTAAAAACTACTGGATGATGTTTTATTAGTTCGCAGCATCCAAATTTTATCTGATATTTAACCATATTTTGAACACATAATGAAAGACTTAATAGCAGTACTTTTTATAATGTTCGACTAAAAAAAAAAAAAAATGTTTTTAAATTTCATCGAACTTTTTTCTATCGCGTGCATATATTTAATTTTTAATAGCATCCCTTCTTTTGATACTTGAAATATGAAGCTACAAGTGCAGTCGCGGTGATCCAAGACTGACCCTATATCGGGTTTTTTCACCTGTCGTTTATCTTTACCAGTTCCGCTCGGCTAAATACGATGACGGATGAATGAGTTCCTCTACGAAAACAAAGTTCAAAGCTGTTTAAAATCCGTCTTCTACTCCTCCATATTTCGTCACAAGTTTAGATAGCGTACATCGTTAAAAATGATGTAGAAGAGTAACGAGCTAGAAAAGTAAGCTGCCCCGCTAAGTTTCCGAGCTATGCGGAGAAGCACAACTTCTATAGCAACTCCTCTTCCAATATTTGACGTTGTCGTTGACAGGATAAGAAGAAGAATAAAGTAATTAAATTAAAAACATGACGTAAATAAAAATCTAAACTTCCATTTTCATTTTAAATGCATTCGTCGTATTAAAATTCAGTTTAAAAATATATTTATAAAATATCCACGTATTTGACAAAAATATGAAAACATTTTTAAAAGAATAAATGTTATTATATTCTTACTTTATGATATTTATTCTAGGTTAGATCTCTTTTAATGGGAAACCGCATTCAGAAAAAGATAGTTTTCGAAGGTGGTGGGTGAAATTTTTTTTTTTTTTTTTTAAGTGAAGTGGCTACGATGCACTTAAGGAGAGACGTTGGAAGATAACGAAAAAGAATGGGAATAAATATATTGTGGAAGGAAAGGAAAATCCTCTGCCGGTTGTGGAAAATCGTCAGTAATGCTGACTGCACAAAGTCAGGAGTTTGCTAACTCCCCAGGAAATTTGATTGTCACGGTTAACAATGGCTGAAGCGGAGTAGCTGATACTGTCCGGCCGTCTTTTGTATCCTCTCTTCTGATACTTTTCTCTCGGTTGGAGTCAGACCTCGACAACAATGGCTGTCGCTAACTCTTTTGCCATAGATTAACTCTTTTAAAATTGCCTGATTGTTAGAAAATCGATTCCATCTATTTATATATTAAAAAAAAAATTCCGACTGGACCGTGATTCGTTGGAAATTATAAATAGCGATCGAAATTTCGCAGAGAGAAGTAACGTTTAAAAACGTATTGGAGCTTTTCAGGCATTTTATTATCGTGTAGATTCATTCCCTGAACGATAAATGGGCGGAAAGAGCTATATTTATCCGCTTAATTAAAAAGAATGAAGAACGAATGATGAAGAGAACGACCGTCTACATTAGAAAAGACTGTCTCTTACCCAGAACAAATCCGTCTTTACTCCATTGCACAGCCCCAGCTTGGTTTTCCACTTCACAGGGGAGGATCAGCGTGTGGTCCTCGATCACATTCGTGTTCTGTGGCTTCGTCCGGAAAAACTGCTGATCTCCAAAAACTGTCAAAAATCGTGGTTAAAGATTAATATCTGAGTTACCTAAATAAATATCATTTTTAAATAATAATAATGATTATTATTATTAATGTAATTTTATTATAAATCTCTTATTTTCAACTANTAGGAAAGAAACAATATTTTATTCCAGTTGTGTTAAACCACAGGGCCATTGCACTAAGGTCGAGAGGGATGGAAAAAAGATAAAGGAGGAGAAAAGAAAAAGAAAAGCCTGCCTTGGATGACATCCAAACGGTTTATAAATGACTTGATAAATGTAAGCCAGCGAACGAGACTCGAAGTCACAGAACAGCTCTTTTGTAGTAAAGCCGACAGATGCGGGGGTAGTTATTCGACAATAACACGGGTATCGGCAGCAATTTTAATTTTTGCACCAAAACATGGATAAGATTTACGAGGTTGGCAACCGTAAAATACAACAGTTTTAATTCGTTTTCGTTAATTACATTCTAAATTTTCATTGTTAAATGCAAAACTTAAATGTTGGAATTTCGAGTAATAAATTTCGATATTAAAGTAAAAGATATCGAAACTTTTAATAAATTATTAGAACGAAAGAAAGGTATATAGGCTATATATATATATTTATTTATATATAGACAATGCTCGCTGTACAACAATATATATATATATATATTTAGGAATCAGAAACTAATCCGATATTTACGAGAGAACAATCTAGAGTATTACCCAAAGGCAAAATCTTTTTATTGCACGGCTATGTACAATATCATTTGATATCATCCCACTTTCTCCAGACTACCGATGGCATCCAGTACTTCTTATACCATACTATCCATCTTTCTAGGCTTTTTTCAGGAAGCATTTACACTTTAGAGTAGTTTGAAAAAAAAAACTGCGGAATAATCCCCTAGGATTTGACGTTCGTTCCTAATGAAGTAGAGAATCTTTCGTCGTACTAAAAGATAACTTTCGTTCTTATTGAAACATTCAATATCTCTCTTCCACCCACTCGATATTAAAATTTGTAGAAACTCGATTTCGTATATAGCTAAATGCAAAATCATCGACGTATAAACTAATGCTAACGATTTATTTATATGTACGAACGAAAAATATTTCTGAAATATCTTTAAATATATTTGTTGCATACGTAAAATTGAATAATGAAACGATTTATAACAGTGTTTAAATTTTAATTACTTAATGGAAGCGTCTTATTAAGATTCATTTATAAGAATTTTTAATATTTTATGCCATACTTTTGTCGTCAAGCAATTCTTCAGATTGTTTACGAAGTATTTAACAGGAAGGAAGGAGAAAGACATCGCATTTATCATGGAAATATTGGCTAAAGTTTGTATTAAAACACTCTGTTATAAACTGTTTACTCTTTTGTCGTCAAAGAAATATGGTTCGAATAAAAATAAATGCTGAAACGTTTAAACGTCTGAAACCTTTACTACCGATAACATAAAAATTCTCGTTCTATCTTTATATGAAGTCCTGTCTACATGAATAGGATGCAATAGCTACAAAGATGTGGATGAGAGGATACTCGATTTACATTTTTTTTTCTTTCTTTTTTTATAAAACAGGTTTATGTATCTATTCTAACTCAGTTCGGATTTAAACAGTTTTATCAAACAGAAAAAAGGAAAAAAAATCATTATTGTGATTTGAAAGGAAAGAACTGGAAAGAGTTAGTCTGGTTGATTGGAAGTTGCATTTTCAGTAGACTATTTCCAGGAAAACACAGTTTACGTTAGGTGGAAAGGTAATATCGATTCGGCTAGAAAGAAATGAGTTCTATTCGTTGTGTGAAAACCAAACCAAGAATGTTCTAGACACTTCTTTCCCTACTTTAACAACTTTGAAATTTTATACGCCTTCAAGTTTGCAAAAATAAACAATTCTTTTAAGAGTGACACCATAGGATCCATCTTGGCAAACATATTTACTCGCTTTAATCAGTTTTTTCGAGAAGGTTTCTAGGATACGGTGTATAAAATTCCACAAGCAATTCTCCACCATCACGAGCGATAGTTACAGATATATAACAAAAATACATTCCTTCATTCAAAATTACCATCGTAAAAGTATTTTTTTTTCTATTGAATAAAATTAAAACAATTGAAAACATTCAAAGAAATAAAAACTACTAATTTTGAATTTAAGTATTTTTAAATAATTTTTTTAAAAAATGGAAAATTTAGAAGGTGAATTATTTAATTCCATTATAAATAATTATCGTCATCCTGAATTCTTTCCGAGATTTTACGAATATATTATTATTTTCCAGTATAATATCTCAACATTAGCCGAGAGAATTATAATGTCATAGGAAATATGATGATAAATTATCACCGATGGGTGCATCATCATCATATTGCGAAGCTAATGAGACTTTATTATCCTTTATCCTAACGAGTGTTCTGTCAGTAATCGATAGCAGGTAGTCTTATTTCGGTAATCCAGGCATTCTGGCTTCTCCATTCACCTATTAGCTGCACATTAATACATCTCGTAGAATGAGCGATAAATGATTAATGCGATTTGTCAAAATTCTTTCCTTCTTTAATTTCCTTTTCGATTTCGACTGGAATTTTAGTCCATTAGGCTATGGCTTTTAAATTAGTAAAGTGGGATGGAGTTTGGAAGTAATTCCATTAATTCTTCACAAAAAAAAGGAAAGAAATAAATGTGATTTGCATAAAAATCATCTCATAGATATCCACGTATTTGACAAAAATATGAAAACATTTTTAAAAGAATAAATGTTATTATATTCTTACTTTATGATATTTATTCTAGGTTAGATCTCTTTTAATGGGAAACCGCATTCAGAAAAAGATAGTTTTCGAAGGTGGTGGGTGAAATTTTTTTTTTTTTTTTTTAAGTGAAGTGGCTACGATGCACTTAAGGAGAGACGTTGGAAGATAACGAAAAAGAATGGGAATAAATATATTGTGGAAGGAAAGGAAAATCCTCTGCCGGTTGTGGAAAATCGTCAGTAATGCTGACTGCACAAAGTCAGGAGTTTGCTAACTCCCCAGGAAATTTGATTGTCACGGTTAACAATGGCTGAAGCGGAGTAGCTGATACTGTCCGGCCGTCTTTTGTATCCTCTCTTCTGATACTTTTCTCTCGGTTGGAGTCAGACCTCGACAACAATGGCTGTCGCTAACTCTTTTGCCATAGATTAACTCTTTTAAAATTGCCTGATTGTTAGAAAATCGATTCCATCTATTTATATATTAAAAAAAAAATTCCGACTGGACCGTGATTCGTTGGAAATTATAAATAGCGATCGAAATTTCGCAGAGAGAAGTAACGTTTAAAAACGTATTGGAGCTTTTCAGGCATTTTATTATCGTGTAGATTCATTCCCTGAACGATAAATGGGCGGAAAGAGCTATATTTATCCGCTTAATTAAAAAGAATGAAGAACGAATGATGAAGAGAACGACCGTCTACATTAGAAAAGACTGTCTCTTACCCAGAACAAATCCGTCTTTACTCCATTGCACAGCCCCAGCTTGGTTTTCCACTTCACAGGGGAGGATCAGCGTGTGGTCCTCGATCACATTCGTGTTCTGTGGCTTCGTCCGGAAAAACTGCTGATCTCCAAAAACTGTCAAAAATCGTGGTTAAAGATTAATATCTGAGTTACCTAAATAAATATCATTTTTAAATAATAATAATGATTATTATTATTAATGTAATTTTATTATAAATCTCTTATTTTCAACTATTTATTATAAGAAAATTATTACAGGATATAAAATTTTAAACATTCCTTTTCGTTTCGAGTCTAATTATTATTACAATATTAGCTAAAGTATTTTTACATTTTTATTTAAAAAAATAGATGTATTTTATTTTAAAAATTATAAATAATATTAAAAAATTTTAATTCGATAAAAAAAAAGAATCTTAAGTTTTCGCTCGTGTATCTTTACAGGTNGGCGTTTCGCCCATCTCCATAACTCGTGAGCTGGGTGTTCCCAAGAGATAAGTCTCTACTCTTCTGTCTTTACGTAAACAGGTCGTATTTTACGTTCGAATGTACTCGGTTCGATACCAAACTTCCAGACTAAAACTCAGCAGAAATGTATGTCGCCTTTATGTGACCTGCAAGAGGAGGTTACCTTCTTTGTCTTGCAATAACTGAGCCGTAACCTCGAAAGGAATCATAATCTCGGGTAATTCTGACCCATAAAACTTGGATTCCTTCGATAAAATTTGGCTTATTATCGATTATTGGAAAAGATATATCTGAGTTTTTACATTATAATGTTTACAGATTAAAATATAATTTTCAAATTTGATTCAAGAAATGTATAAAAATTAATGGACAAACAGACAAACATACATAAAATATTAAATTTTATTATCAAAAAACAAAAATTTGAATTGATTACGATGGAGATTTTTCAATAAAAATGATATAAAATGTGTAAAATTATCATTACAATATTATATAAGAAGTGCAACAATATCGATCTCTATAACCAGAAAGTTTAGAATCCTTAATTTATCACAGCAAAATACAAAATTATATAATTATTAGAGAAATTTTTTATAAGTTTATTAATTTAAACAATTAAAATATTTGGATTCCCGATTCACTCATTATCTTGGATACATTACAACTACATTTGGGTGTCACATCGTATCATTTTTCATTCCGGTATCCAGGTTTCAACAAGCGAATGACGCCCCTTTCTGAATCTCAAATGGCGCTAGAAAATTTAAATTGGTTTGCTTAACTGGAAATTCGGTTCGGTTTATTTTAATTAAAATTGTGGTGGTCTTTATTAAAAGTTGTCCGCCCGCTAGAAAGTACTGTACTTAAATGTCGTCGATAGAATTGCGTTAGAGAAATGCCCTGGTCGTGTAAACATTGGCGCTAATCTCGAAGTTAGCCTCAGGTGAGGCAGACTCATTGGTTATATTTCCTTCGCGTTATAAACGCAATTCGCTTCATCCAAGTCGAAAATTGCAGATAACACC